TATGTGTCACGACCCTTGCACGCGAATCAAGAACACAGGCGCGAAAAACTCTCGAGGCACTCTGGATTAATTCCAGAAATCCGAAAATGAACCGCAGGGAAGAATGCCTCATTATCACGCGTGATGTAGGGCAGTATATAAGACTGCTATTCTGATGAGTGGGGTACATTATACTTCCATGTGATTTCTGTGCGGTTGGTCTCTACGTGACATACTTAGTGGAGACCTCATAGAAAGCGGTGAGTGTGCAAAGCTGTGTTCAATGTGATTGAAATCTTGGTTTAGAGTTTCTTTGTTTGGTTATGGAGGCGTCTGGCCAAGTAGATTGCTGTCAACTTGACCTTTCCAGGCTCTGAGGAAGGCGAAATCCGCCGAAACGTCAGCTCATTTGTGAATAAAGAATAATAACACCTCGCGTTTGCTCAACAAAAATACGAAGAATCCTCGTCTTAATATAACGTACCACGAGTGACTGTTGTTGTAATTGCCACGTTGTGAACGTCAAATTTGGGTGATTAATCTTTTAAACACTAGAGACCCTGGAGCAATAAAGAGATAACGAAAACACCGTACACCGTGTATATTTGGAATTGATAGTAACTTAAACACATTACAGGACAATGGTAAATGCAAATAAGACTTGACTAGTCTTTGTTAGCTAAGCGAAGAATGACGAGAACTGTGGCTGAGACGTCTAAACGTCGTCATAAGGCCAATGTGACTTCAATAGACGTGTCCCTTTTCTAACGAGTGATTTTACATACATGTGGAGGTTTACTTACAAAGCTCTTACCAACTCGTATGAAGTGCTGAGATATTTGCAAAACTACGGACCACAGGTGTATGCAGTGGGGAACGAACACGCGCTGTTGTCCTTACCGAGCAGCGCACTTCACCAGTACACCATCCGGGTCATCAGGGTCAGTATATGATAGTATAAAGAGTATGTCCTGCAACGCAGATAATAGCCTCTTAACCACAGGCGATCACAGTCTGTCATGGATTGGTGGATGGTCCATTATTTTATGATTAGGTTTTCGTTACGATGCTGCTTTATTTTAATCTTGGATCGCCCTGGTGGTTTACCTCGTCGGTTTTTCTGAATTCTTGGAAGAATTAACCAAAATTTTGCTAAATGGTCACAGTAGACGTTCACAATTACTGTGATTTGAAAGGAAATTGTAAGTGTGCGCAGAAATTTTATGACAAGGGGATTTATGGTCTTTCGGAAGAAATTTGAAATACTGCTTTTAGCTCCCAGGATCGACATTCTATTAACCTCGACATTGGAATATGAATGCGACGTTTTCTTGTTCAGCAATCGCGAGGTTTTTAAACAGCATACATTTACTTCCATAGAGAAACACAATACAATACAACACTAGCTGACGTTTCGGCAGTATCGTCTTCTTCAGAGCCTGGAAGGGTATACTCATATACAATCTACTAGGCCAAACGCTTCAATAACACTTACAAAAAGACGAAAGACTCTTTGGTAATTACATGGTCAACAGCTTCTCGAAAAACTCCTCGCTTTTTAAGTGACTTTCAATGAGGAAGTTTAGAACAGCTGATTATAGTCGCATATTGTTGATGACTGCACCATCCTACATGAGAAATTGATGCGAACGTACAAGGTCAGGTCGCGTATAACCTCCGGGCATCCATTCCTGCTATTCATTGTAGGGTTTTTGGCATTTATCCAAAAAGCCTCAAGAAGTTTTCGCGTTGGTCTTTTAGATTCCTGTGCAAGGATATTGACTTTTACTTCAAAATCGTTACTGCTTTTAGCATTATTGGGATTTTCAAATTCCAAATCATTGGACTGCTAGATGCTGTCGAATCACTGTAGGCCAACCATGGAATGAAACTCAATCTTTCATATTCTTTAAGATCTTCAATGAAGCTACAGATAGCGTGCTCAGCGTGGACATCAACGGCGGTGAAATAGTCGCTGGTTCTGCTGATGGGAATTATCGACTGTACAACATTAGAGAAGGGAAGGTGGCTGTCAACATCTTATACGATTTTTATGTTTTTTCTTAGAGATAACCATTTGAGCTATCTGCTTAATGTTTTCGATGCGTGTATTACGTAAACGAATGTCAAACCATTTGCTTCCAGCTTCACATTGATTTTATGGGCGAAAATGTGAACTGCGTCCACTTCACTCCAGACGCTAACTGCGTGTTGGCTTCAGTTCAGGATGGTAATATACGTCTAATGGACAAATCGAGCGGTAAAATGTTGGCCAGGTGGAATTATTCTACTTCTTTAGCAGAGGATATTATTATGCAACATTTCATAACTTTCGTTAAAATGGTCGCGAATCAGCTTTCAGTTATGTTGGTCACAAGAATTTCGAGTATAAATTGGACAGTTGCGTATTAGCTTCGGTTGAAGAAATTGCATCTGGCTCTGAAGATGGATTTGTGTACATTTGGAGGTATACAGGACCATTGTTAAACTTATTAATACAAACGTGTTTAATGGCCGGTGATTGAATTGAGTACTGATTTAGTCTAGAAAAATTCATGAAAAATACGAATTGAAAGAGGTATCGCTCAGCTAGATACTACTCAAGTAACCATGGTTTTGTCATGAGTCTATTGCCTGCTTTTTCTTTCACTTCTATTTTTTCTTTTACATCTGTGGTCTGTCTAATCATTTATTCGAAATGATTATTTCTTAAATCTACTACGAGTTTGCCTCATTTTGGGTGGTGAGTGGGTGTAACTGCATCTCACTTTCTCTGCACTTGGTGTGCATTGAATCGAAAGCCTACGGTTCGTTTTCGCCCTTAAATATGACCACGACCGAGTTTCTATTTTTCGCTGTATAATTTGGTTTGTTCTTCCATCTTTTCACTCATTATTATGGCATTACATTTTCCACTTATCTTTCCATGTTTTTGGAATAAAACTCGTTTATAGTGAAGTAGTCTTCACCAGTGCAATCACAGTGCTGTCGGCGTTTAATGGTCGATCTCATGAAATATGTTGAATATAGCTTGAGATTTCTATACGTCTTCAATGTCCAATGTTCATTTTTTGTGTTTACAAACCTAGAATTTTGTGAACGATACGGAAAAGCACTGGTGAGCGCATATTCTATGTGCCTGCGTTGGAGTGTCGTAGTACTCTTGTCGTTCTCAGCATTCTCTTTGATGGGAAATATCGTTGTACTCTCCTAATTAGCAACGGTGCTGCCGTCTGAAGAATGAACTCAGGCGAAAAGCTGTTATGATTGATTAAGCGTAACGAATGTCTTTTTGTGGGCCACTCCCGATGCAGCATTTTTTACACAGCCCAAGATCACATTTTGTGTGAATGCCAGCACTTCAAGTATTCGATTCCTTTCGTTAAATCCATATTCTATGATATTCTTGTGTGGGTTCGGTTGTTGCGTGAAAATTTTTGGTCTTCTTTATTAATATTGTTGTGATCGAGTCGATTCTTCGTGTAATTCTGAGATAACCATATGTTAGTAGATGTCCAGCACAAGCAGTCGCTAGAATTGGTGGATTGGCGGAACCAGCTGATCACGAGCAAGTTTGGTACCAATTTTCAGATTCCGAAGAGATAGGAAGTTTGATGGGTCCTGGGTGGAGCTAAAGTAGCGCCGAGCTCATGCTGAGTGGCATCACTACCAGTGCGCCGCGTGTCTGCATACATTACTTTTGTTCGATGATTTGTCGATTAAATACAAGAAGTATGCAGAAGAAGTAATCATGAGAAATACGCAGTGAAGCATTGTGTAATATACTTTGTATATTGATATCTGTCAATGCGACCGTGGATAATTAAGGTCCTCCTGTCCTACTTGATTAAGTTGATTTATTTATACAATATTCTCTTAACTTACCAAAGCTCCCTTTTATTTTTCTTCCAGTCTACTCGATAGCAATGTGGTAGCTAAGTTGGAGCATCCGTCAAAGATTGTTCACTCATTGTCGGCGCATCCAAAGAAGAAACATCTGTTGACAGCAGCCGGACAACTCGTCTATTTGTGGGTGACGAAGGACGACGAGGATTTTGAATGCTAGGAAAGAACCATGTTTCTTTGTTTTTCCTTAGGTAATTGCACATTTTCATCTACTTAATATTTATTTGAATGAGTTAACTGACATATGTTTTTGTGACATCATTTGAAGTTGTAAAACTATGTATATATGAGACGTTTCTTATCTATTTAATGTTGCAAGTATAGTAATGTTCAATTGTCTCTCCCCCTTAATGAAGATCGTGGCTTTGTCTTTACCAGACAATGTATGTATTATGTTAACTTTACAATGATGCTGAGATACAACCACAACGTTGCTGAGATCTTTGCAAAACTCTGGACCGCAGGTGTCTGCGGTGGGGAACGAATGCGGTATGGTCCTTTCCGGGGAGTAACGCGCTCACCACCACACCATGCGGGTCCTTCGTTTCGCCTGTCTCTCAGCTATTTCTATCGATGTTTGCCACAGCAATCACCCGTCAGCGGGATTGATCTGGGGCGCCCAAATCGGAATAGAACCCAGTTAAGCTGCGGCTGTAGTTGAAATCACAATGTCATATCTTTTTATTTCCTGCCTACTATAATTTCGCGGCAGGGTACTAAGCGAAATACGACCACAGCGTTGCTAAGATGTTTGCAAAATCTCCGGATCGCAGGTGTCTGCGGTGGGGAACGAACGCGCTATGGTCATTTCCGGGGAGTAACGCGTTCTCCACCACACCATGCGGGTCCTTCGTTTCGCCTGTCTCTCAGCTAGTTCTATCGATCAGTGCCATCAGCAATCACCTGTCAACGGAATGGATCTGGGAAACCCAAATCGGCATTGAACTCAGTTAAGCTGACGCTATAGTTGGGATTTACAATGTTCACTTTTTTTTAGTTCTAGCTTAGAGACAGGCGAAACGAAGGACCCGCATGGTGTGGTGGTGAACGCGTTACTCCCCGGAAAGGACCATACAGCATTCGTTCCCCACCGCAGACACCTGCGGTCCGGAGTTTTACAAATATTTCAGCATCATTGTAGTTGTTTCACAAATAATACTCTGTCGTGAAAACTTGTAAAGGCAGTAAATAAAAAAAAGTGAACATATGTTAAATTTAGTCCGCAGGTGTCTGAGTTGGGGATCGAACACGCTATTATTCTTTGTGATGGTTAACGCGTTTGCCACCACAAGGTGCGGGTTCTTCGTTTCCCCTTTCTCTTACCTAGTTTATATAGTTTTAAGGAGCTAACGTATGCATGAGTCTTTTGCGGGACCTGAGAAGTGTAGTGATTAGTAGTGATGTTCGATAATACGCAGAAAGCCATGTTCGGGCTCGCCCAGAGCTAACCAAGCGTCATTCCTTCGAGGTGTGGAAGTTGGTACCTAACTCCTAAGAACTGCCTCCGATCCACGAAGACTAGCGACTGTTTCAGGTAAGGACCTTGGGATATGTTAGGTCTGCTATCCCAAAATTCAAGAGAGAATCTACTTGAACATCAACATTCAACGACATTCATAGAGAAGAGCAAAGTCCCCAATCTGCAGCTAGACTCGCGCGGCAATCTGAAGGCATTCGGCGATGACGGAGGCGAGAAAGCGAATGGATCGAATAACTGGGACCTTCCCAATAGATGGTTTTGGGTTATGTAAAGAAAGAGAACAACTCGGTCTGCTGTTACTGTAACATTATTCATTTGCAACATACCTATTTAGATGCTTAGGTGGCCTTTTTCACATGACCTGTGACCCACAGTATCTCTTACATTCGTTTCGTTGCGTAGCAACATCGACCTGGTGGGAACCACTTCTTGCCTACGTTCAGATATTACTTGATATCCTTTTATCTTCTCTCCTCAATGAAATGTTAAATGGTAATTAAATTGGCTGAGTTCTTTATCCAATGTGGAGGTGAGCGTGTTGAAGCGCCTCCGCTTTTTCTCCACTGACGGTCAACGACAGATTGTGTGGATAGAGGTGTGCCGAATAATGAAGGTCCTACTTGTGTCAAATCGGGAGCGGGATGCGAAAGACAGCATTTAATGGCAAGTGAATTCTTGATGCCTATGTGGTTACCATCACATCGATGTTTTTGCTCATGTTGTCATCCACTAACACCTTCAGAGCTGTTTTTTCGCAAACTGCTGATAATTTTTGAGCAGTCAGAATTTCACAGGTTAAAACGTGGGCGGCTTAATGACGATGCTTTTTCCTATCTATTTATAAGTAGATATGATTCCCAAGACTTATTTGATTCACAATCTCGTCACTTTTTATTTACTGCCTACTCTTTCTTAATGACAGGGTGTTATGTGAAATAGGCATTGTGATGTTGTGATATTTGCAAAACTCCGGACCGCAGGTGTTTCCGGTGGGGACCATAACACGGCTGAGAGAAAGGCGAAATGAAGGGATCACATGGTGTGGTGGTGAGCGCGTTAGCCCCTGAAAGGGTGATAGCGTGTTCGGTCCCCATCGCAGACACCAGCGGTTCGGAATTTTGCAAATATCTCAAGGTCTTTGCTATTATTTGACTTCTAAAGTTGTTTTAAAATAAGATTTTTGAAATAAATATATTTGGAATCCAAATTTTTTAAATTTAAAGCCATTCTCAGCAGTCATGAATACCAAAGTCGCATTAGAGGACATTGGCGTTTTCCAATGGGTGAAATTCGTCTGTTCGATGGTTTTATTTTCGAAAAATGAGTCTCAGTGAAAAAGTGATGAAAGTACGATTTCTTGGCTCCGTGAAGTCAAGTTTTCATCTTACTAGAATAAAGGCCATATTTCTGGTTTAACTAAAAAGTACACTTTAAGCTGATATATATTGATTTTAAGCTGGAAATGACCGTTATTGTCGCACCGTGTGAGTGGAAGTCAACTCACATTGGAGCCTAATTGTTGGTGAAGAGGCAGTTTCGTTTTTGCTCTAGCTAAATGCTGGAGCGTGGTTGAAAAGTGTTCGGGTGTTTTAAGTGTGAACCCCAGATGATGACGTGAGAGCACTGAGTGATTCAATAACCACAGTAGTTAACGTCTTTAACTCCATCACATATTTCACTTTCACAAGTGCAAACGAAGAAATTTGTGCTCACGCTACCAGTACAGTGCTTAATGATGTGAAACATATCTGTGTCACGGTCATACTAGTCCTCATCGGAATAATTATCATTGTTTTGTGTTGTAGAAGATATGGTGTCTAAGGTATAGATCTTCATTTCAGCACGCTCCTTAGCTGGTTTCTGTTGAGATGTTAGTTTTACTTCCATGTCTGCCTTTCTTAAACACCTTGTCATTTCTTCCGGAGATGATATCCCCACCATGGCTCACATTTTTGGAAAAAATACTCCTGTCGCCTAGATCGGCTGTCTAAATTGGACTCGCAGAAAGCTTGGAAATCGTTTGGAGTGCAAGAAAAGTTTGCATGTTAAACACCATCGAATTTCATGTTTTTAGGATTTCACAACTCAAGCTATTAATTGAAAACGGGGTGGTCTACTTTTTATACGGATGGAGCTGCACAGTCCTTCCAAGGAATTTGTTTCTTATACTAAGCAGCTACTAGGTTAAGCACTTATTCTTCTTCACCTGTGAGCAGCTCAGTCACTTGGCATTTCATAGTAACTCTATAAAGAGCAAGTTCATAAACATTTATAGCTTCTAAACAAGAAATTGACAAACAAGAGAGGAAGTGATTCGGTGAGATCACTGATGTTTTGGAGTTCGCCTTGATTTTGGGCAGCGTCCATTCAAATTTTAAAAAATTTTGGTCATCCAACAGTGCTAATGCCGATGTGGCTTCTGACATCGACAAGTGATGGTGGTGGTCGGTAGTGAGGTATGCGGATGCGTCCTTCCTGAGTAAAAGATCTTTGAGTATCCCCTGATAGGAAGAATTAGTGACTCTTAGAAAGTGATGTTGCTACACGAGCTGTTATTTTTTCGCCGTTTAGCTTACAGTGGTTGAAGTAAATGAATGCAACAAATTTCTTGGCAGATGTTGTTAAAAATTCCGCATAATTTTCACACACTTTTATTTTTTTTATTTCATTTACCTGGTTATTCAATTGCCAAATAATCTGGAAATTGGGAATTTGGAATGATTACTTTCATGGGTTAATTCTGTCTTTAAAAATCAAAGTTGTAAACTTTGCCCACCCTGGCGGCTAACCAGTACTTCTGCGCACGGTCTGCCACGATATTCGATTTGTCACCGTCATAGTCGTTCAGAGATTGTGACTGTCCCTAAGAATGCACAAGGTTAAAACTTGAAGTGTAAAAAACTTTGACCGTTACTCATTTTTGATGTTATTCCGAGCGGCCACTAGGTAATTGATGTGGATTTGGCCCGTACGAATGACCTGTGAGGACAAGATGTGCAGGCTTACTCCTCATGAACGTATAATAAACCACTTAACTCAGCTCGTATTAATGGTGCGTTAGGCCAAAGCGAGGGATTGAATCGGTGTTTATGATGATAGTTCTTATAACACTGTATTTATTGCTTTTATTATCCTTGAATCTTGTCATACCGATATTGTTCATTCTCATAGAAATTCTATTACGTGCTTTAAAACCAGCCATCTGGTCAGTCGGACAAATTAGACGGGCGTGCGTTACTGTGCAATGTTGTTGCAGCTTGTGGACATCATAAAAATATCCGCAAAAGCATAGATTTGGTCGGTACTTTAAGATATCGATAAAGCGAAAGAAAACATAATTAGTAGGGCAGAACATCAAGCAACTGAATTGAGACCATAGGAGCTCTTAGTGCGTGCGAAGGGTGATGACTCATGCGTTTTTGGAAATCTAGAGATAAAAACGAATTGCTAGAGCCACTTTGGTGATGACTCTATATTGTGTATTTATATGAAAGACTTTTGAAAAACAGAAGTTGGACTATTTTCAGGTATTAGATTGAAGTGGTTGAGACCTAGTAGTTATGGTCGGTATCGGATTGTACGAATCGCTCGATACTCCCAATGTGGAGGCAAGCCGGCAGTCGTGCATTGTGTGTGCAGCTTGGGAACGGCTTCCCGTAGCGAGGCATATAAAACGGTGA